ATTTTGCAATCTTTTTTTTTGGGTGTGTTTGTTTTTTTACCTTAAAAGTTCACATTGTTTTTTTTTTATTATTATTTAGTTCATCGGAATGGTATGAAGTTTTGGTACTTGCTGTGTGAATACACACACAAAAAATAATTGAAAAGGTTAAATGATCCTGAAAATAATAGTCACACTTGTATTGTTCCATTGGAAATGAATTGAAGACAAATTTTGTATTTTGTTAAAGTTTGGTATTGCCAAAAAACAATTTGTCACTGGCAGCTCTTTTTAAAAAATATAAACAAATATATATATATAATATATATATATATATTTCAACCTCAAATTTGGAAAACAATAAGAAAAACATTTTTTTATAACAGTAAATGTAAACTTTATTCAAGCTCACTTTTTAAGTGTCTTTAAAAATAGACAAAACTAAAGTCTGTATCATAAAATCCACTAAAAAATACAAAATATTAAATAAAATAAAAACAATCAAACTAAAATACTAAACTATAATACAATCATTTAATTGAAATTTAAAAATGTGATAAAAATTGTAACTATAATACATTTTCATTTATCTGTAAATAACATGCAATTCTGAAATTACATTACATTCAGTATATTCTTTCCAAGTACATTATTTCCATAATGAATACTCTTTTTAAAAGTTTGCTAAAAGTGAAGATAAAGATCCATTGTTGTTTGTTTTTGCCTGTTTCTTTGAATTTCAATGCAGTTATTTCATCTTCCTGTTATTCGAAACTCTAGTTCTGAATGTCGTGTGTGTTTGCCTCCGGATTAGAGGCGTACGAGGCCCTGTGTAACGAGCTGGGTCCTCCTCCTCAGTCCCCGCGTTATTATGAGCGCTTCGGCCCGGGAGGAGGAGGGTTCCTGCCACCGTACGCGTACCCCGAAGCCCAGCCGGGACGCCCCGACTACATGCCCACTGATTACGAGGACTACAGCCCAGCGGGAGCCGGTAGGAGGAGGTCTGGGCTGAGAGAAAGACCCCCCACTTCCTACGGGCTCCCAGACGCCCCCTACAGGCCCGCGGGGTGAGGCCCTTCAACACTCTACTAACAGCACTGCAACTTTAGCTTAAAGGAGCTGTATGCAAGAATTTAATTTCAATTAATCATACATTTTCCCTGATATGTCACTAGACATTAAGAAATCATGTTCATTTCAAATACTTGTATCACTGACAACAGTAGTCCGGCCAGGATATTGTCATTTAAAAAGTGAAGTCGCAGCCCTCGACTGATGTTGATGTTGTCATGTTGATCTACCAATCAGTAGTATTGTGGCATTCGGGTTGCCAGCTCTGCTCTAGTTACCACTGCTGCAGATACAAACGTCAAAAAAAAAATCTAACATTGCGAAACCAAAAAAAACAAGACATGAATCCAAAATACTTCGTGTCAAAGTCTGAAATAAATAATTACTCTACAGTCATTTGAAAGTGATTGCAGTTCCAGTTTTGGCCACAATCTTACATACGGCTCCTTTAAAGACAAACGAAGTGATTTTGACATACTTGGGCTCAAGTAATTGCATTTAATATAATATATTTTAATATGATACTATAATATAAAACAATTTAATCGCAGTAGGGCAGTGGTGGAGGAAGTACTGAATCTCAGTACTTAAGTAAAAGTACAAATACCCAGATAAATATTTACTTTAGTAAAAGTAGAAGTAACACAATGACAACCATACTTAAGTAAAAAGTAAAAAGTACTTTATTTTAAATGTACTTTAAGTATTAAAAGTAAAAGTACTTGCATAACAATTTATTATCTTAATGTCTATTTTCTAATGATTAATAAAACATTTAATTCTAACTCATTCAACCTAATAGCCTACTCCTATAATGATGTTCAATGATGATGGAAAAAAATGTCACCATTTCTGAAACAAGCTTGCAATTAGGCAATATCATGCTTATCCTTACTATATGTTAATAACTATGTTTGGCAGTAAACGAGATTCATTTATGGTGTAAATCTGAACCTCTTGGCTTGCCATAATCCTAACCAAACCAAACATAAATTACACACGGTGTGTTTCCTATGCACGTAAAAACAAATTTTCGCGTATGAGTTGCACGATAAACACACTGCATGTGAGACGCATTTAGTGTGACCGGGTTGATATACTGTATCTATGGCAACCAAACGTCACTGGTGAGACAAACGTGCAACGAACGGATGGTAAGATTACGTTTTGGCAGGGGAAAAACTGATCAGAAAATGTAACGAAAATGTAACAGAAGTTGTAGAAATGTAGTGGAGTAGAAAGTATAATAATTGCTGCAAAATGTAACGAAGTAAAAGTAAAAAGTAGGCACTATTTATTGTACTTAAGTAAAGTAAAGATACGTGAAAAATGTACTTAAGTAAAGTAACGAAGTATTTGTACTTCGTTACATTCCACCACTGCAGTAGGGTTACATAGAATTAAGTGTCTGGAAACATTACATTCAGTTTACACTTAAAGTTCCCCTGTAGTCAATAATTTTATCCCTTAAAACTCATATTTGATCACCAAAATTACATATAAAAAAATGTGTCATGCGTTTAAAATATCTTGAATGTAACTCGACACCCTTGCCTCATTTAGTATTCGCGGTTCTATTAATATTCAAATGAGCCCCGCCCCCACTCACTCAATCAGCTCAGAGATCCACTGGTTGACGATCACTCGTTGATCTGATTGGTTACAAGGTCGTTTGTGGCGTCAGAAACACCAGCGATTTCAAACCGTGTTTTTAAGACCAGGTTCACTGCAGTTTGTAAGTAAGAAAATACTCGACTTATGAATTTACTCGTGATTTGTGTTAAAGCATATTAAAAACACCACATAGACATATAAACAACATTTAAAAGCTTGATTCTCATCACAGGGGAACTTTAAGTATATTCTTTTATCTCCGTAGTATACTCTTTTTAAAAGTATGCAACTTCTTTTTCACTAATTGTGTGTAATTCTACTCCACTCGTTTCCAGTGGAAGTCGTTATTATGAGGAGGATGATTATGAGAGCGCTCCCGGCCCTCCCTTCGGCCTCCCGGACCCTCGCGGTGAGCGAACGTTTGATGCCCGACCCCTGCCGCCCCGTCCCGACGGGCGTCCACTGAGTCTGGCTCCTCTTCCCGAAAACTCCCGGTACCACGAGGCCGAGGGGGAGGAGTCATGGAGAGCCCCGCCCCCTTTCCCAATGTTCCCTGACAGGCGGGAGGGGCCACGAAGAGTCTATGAGCGTGAGTCTGAAATATCAAGTGTAGTGAAGTGAATCAAGAGTAGTGAACAATATGTAAAATATATATAGATATATATGTGATGACCTCTTGCTGGTCTGATTGCTTCTCTTGTTCTCCTGAGTTGTAGGTCGCTCTGGATAAATGATTAAATGTGAGTGTAAGATCCTCTTGTGTGTGTTTCAGGGAGATATGACTCATATGGCAGCCTGAGTTCAGAGGATTGTGGGATCGTCCAGGGCTGTGACAACGGCCGCTGTATCCGTGTCGAGGAGGGCTACACCTGTGACTGTTACGACGGATATCAGCTCGACATCACGACCATGACATGCATAGGTATCGCTCTCTTCTCATCCCCATATCTTCTCTCTCTTTTTAGTTCACGTCAGAATTAAAATATCCTGATCATTCACTCTCCTCCACATCATCCAAGATGTCCATGTCTATCTTTCTACACTCGAAAGGAAATTAAGGTTTTTGAGGAAAATATTCCAGGATTGTTCGGGATGGCACCAAGGGCCGTCCTGAAATTCCACCGTCCGCGAACCCACTTTTTTTATAATGGGATAAATGCTATGTGGGATCTCAATATCTCAGCTCTGGAAGGGTCTAGAGCCTCCATTTTTGCACTCAGGTCTAAGTCCCATGGCCCTCTATCAGAATCCAGAGTTTCAAGAAGATCGGAGAAACTCAGAATTTCGGCCCCCGAAAAAACTAAAAGGGGTACCACTGTCGTTTTTTTTTCGGGGGGAGAAATTTAGAGTTTCTCCGATCTTCTCAAAACTCTGGATTCTGATTCGTTTCGACTGAAGAAAGAAAGGCATGGACATCTTGTGTGGGAGAGTAAATTATCAGTGCACTACTCCTGTAACCAATCACATGTGCTGTTGTGTTTAAAAACAGAGCTGTTTAATTTTCCACAAGCGATTAAAGATGCAGCTGTGTGTTTGTTTGACTGTAGATGTGGATGAGTGTGAGGAGGAAGACACACTCGACTGCATTAACGCCCGCTGCGTGAACACCGAGGGCTCGTACAGGTGTGTGTGTCTCAGGGGTTTCATCATGTCTCGAAGACCCAACCACTGCATCCTCGCCTGATCGGTGTAAACGCTGGACTTAGAGACTTTTCCCGCCACATTGCTGTAAATTGTTTATTTTATGACTTTATTGACAATACCTGTGTGTATATCCAAAAGTCTAATACGTGTTACACACACAAGACTCAATGATGTTGTACTAAAACGGAAAAACGATATGCTAAATGTACATGACCTGGTCTTTTTCATTGTTTGGACTCGAACGCAAGCCAGAAGTCTGTCACATTTTAATTCTTCATATTTATACATCCATATCAATGAAGGCAACTCCATGTATACTATATATGAATCTATTTACATGAATTATTTTTTGTCATAGAATCTCACCATGTTACTATTTGATACTGTAAAATCTTTTCTTCTGCCGTTTGTTTTCTTCTGTCCGTCACGCAACACAATGCACTGTATCTGTGGGGTTTCACACAACTGCTATTGTACAGTTTTAACACGTCTCAGATGTTTGTTACATATTTTTATGTGTACGTTTTTGATATCTTCTGTGATGAAGCTGTTTGAAAATATATTTGCACACATTTTCCTTTTTAAGTGTTTCTTTGTTGCTATGCTTTCTGAAAACCAATCAGGCTTGACCCAATATTCAACAAGTCACAATATTCCTCATCATAATAATTAATGCGCAGAATAAAAGGGCGGGGCCTGGTTGAGTTAGTTAGTAGTGTGTTAAACTGGCGGTTATGGTAAGGGGCGGGACATTTCTCGAACACACTCGAAGTGCTCGACCAATCACAACACACTGATCCAACTGACCAATCAGAGCATAGTGTGCTTTTCAGAATATATATATATATATTATCCTAGCTCTAGACCCTTCCTGAGCTGAGATATTGAGATCCCACGTAGCATTTATGCCATTATAAAAATAGTGGGTTTTTGGACAAATAGTGGGTTTGCGGACATGTGGTTTTTAAGCTTAGCTTTCAAAATTTTGGGATGAAAACTATTTTACTGCACTCAGGGAGGCCCCCTGAATCTGTGGCACCAAGGGCCATCTCGAAATTCCACCGTCCGCGAACCCACTATTTTTATAATGGGATAAATTCTACGTGGGATCTCAATATCTCAGCTCTGGAAGGGTCTACAGTCTCCATTTTTGCACTCAGGACTAAGTCCCATGGCCCTCTATCAGAATCCAGAGTTTCAAGAAGATCCGAGCAACTCAAAATTTAGAGGGCCATGGGACTTAGACCTGAGTGCAAAAATGGAGACTGTAGACCCTTCCAGAGCTGAGATAGAGGCTGTGTCCGAAACCGCATACTTAATGAGTAGGTACTTAATTTCAATAAGTACTTACTCAACGAGCGCTAAAAGAGTAGGTACTTTATAGCCAAATCTCATTGAGTATGAATGAGAACCAGACATCTGCCATGTTGACGTTATCGTGTGGCCTACTACGACGAGTTATCATCATATCACAAGCGCAACAACTTAAAATAAATGAACAGCGACACATTTAATTAATTAATCTTGACATTGATGTTGTGGTATTGTTGAAGAAACAGCTGCCCATTTATTTTGTGAATACATTTAAGGTTGATTTAAGTTGTTATGTTTTAAACCCTACTAATGTGACCCACAGTGTTATTCTTATAACGATTTTTTTTATTAAGAAACCCCAAAATCGTCACCTCTTGAATATATGTTGTTAATTTCTTTATTTAATACCCAAAAAGTGTCTCCTTTAAGTTTTCCTCCTTTTCTTGATGAATTTACCTCGTTTCATCCCTCAGACTTATAACAACAACAAAAACAAAACAACATTTTGTATGTATTATGAAGATCTATTTAAAGATATTTAGCCTCGTTATTGTTCCTTTTTCCTGTGTATAAATATTATATTATGATGTATTATTATGATGTACACAAACCAATGATCTTTATGTTTTCTGTTTCGTCATTATGACTGTTACGGAATCTTTCACATGATCTTGTATGTAATAAGTTTATAAGTTTAAATGATTTGAGTGACAGGTGCACTAACACTTCATAACATCAGTGACTCGACAGCACAACCTAGAGCAGTTTTCCTATGCGTTTGTAATGTCTGCACAAAGGAGACGGGCAGCTGCTTGAAGATCTCTTTTGGAGAAAACTGTTGATTTTATACTTGAAAAATGTAATTATCACTCCTTAAAAATTAATATTACCTCAAAATTGTTAGCCCACCCCAAAACTTAAAGAAAATAATAATATTAAATACTGACCAATACTTAATTATAAAACTTTTTATTTACTAAAAATATAATTTAATATAACAAGCAAAAAGTCATTTGTTTTCTCATATGACAGTTATGCATGAATACGTTTATATTGCTAAATGCAGTGAAACATCTCAATTGTCAGTCAATCGATGAATTAATGCATACATTAATTCAATAATTATATTTTATATGCTGACAACAATAAGAAAAATGAATAAATGTGCAAAAGAACAAATAAAAGTAACCATCACAATAAACAAATGCATATACAAGTCAACAACACATGAAACAAAGCTTTATTCAAACTAAAAGCATGTATTTACAGGTGCTGAACACCACATACTGCCGACTCAACACAGCGGTTCCCATTCTGCAGCTTTATTCTGATAAATTCACCAGAGGGGACTGTGCCTTCTTCCCAGAGCTTGTTGCTGCGCTGCGCTTCACAATCTGAGGCAATAAGGGCAGGTGGAGAGATAGACGGTCTCGTAAAGACAGGTGGAGTGATGGAGGGTCTCATCCATGGCACCACTTCCAGGATTCAGCTCTGGGCTCCTCATCCTCAGTGCTCACACCAGTCTGCAGACATTTCAGATCCAAAAATGCACAAACATTGGCCCTCTATCAGAATCGTCTCGGTTACGTATGTAACCCTCGTTCCCTGAGTAGGGAACGGAGACGTTACGTCAGAAGTGACGGAGATTGGGGGTTTCGCATAGAAAGCCAATCCTCTTCGAGTATTAAAACACGAGCCAATGGCATGCAATGCCTTGGGGCTGCGGAAATTTGCATAGCGTACTCCGCCCTACTCCGTGAGTATAAAAGGAGGAAGTGAACGCAACCGCAGTATGTCTTCGCTGAGGAGCCAAGACTGAACTCGGCCTCTACCCAGCGATACAGCAGAAGTGGCAGGGAGACGTAACGTCTCCGTTCCCTACTCAGGGAACGAGGGTTACATACGTAACCGAGACGTTCCCTTTCGTAGTCACTTCGAGTTACGTCAGAAGTGACGGAGATTGGGGGTCTGTGCCATCACGCCATCTTCAAGCTGTCTTCCAGTGCCCTGCGAAAGTCTGAACCCCCGAGCCTTACCTTTTTTTTTAGGGGATCCGACTTTGACACAGGATTACCAAGGTACACTGGGAAACATATCCCGAAGGGGACATGCTACCAGCTGCCTACCGAAGGGAGGACTTACGAATACACATATGGCCACATAGGAACACATATGGAACACTGGAGTACCAACCGCAGGTGGCTACTAATTTCAACTCCAGGGGTGGCAGATGGCTTGCCAAGGGAAGACACATGCTCAGAGAGGCTTACAGTGGATAATACACATGAGACGGTTACCAAGGGGAACCGTGCGCATGGAGGCACCTAGCCAGCATCCAGAGCAACAGCAGTGGTGCCCGCATCGTCGGTGCTGGAGGACTCAAGACTTCAATGGAAGAACTGAGGAAATATCGCACTTATCCAGTCCGGGGAGTGGAGTGGCGAGCAAGCGAAACACCTGAGCGGATCCAGAACTGGCCGAAACGAGTACGTGAGAGGATACCGGCTCAATTCGCAGATTATAGAATCTGGCGAAGGTGTTGGGTGTCGCCCAGCCTGCAGCTCTGCAGATGTCTGTTAGCGAGGCGCCGTGCGCTAAAGCCCAAGAGGAGGCTACACTCCGAGTGGAATGGGCCGTCACACCAAGGGGCACGGAAGGCCTTGCTGCTGGTAAGACAAAGCAATGGCATCCACTATCCAGTGGGACAGCCGTTGCTTTGAGAGAGCCCTTCCCTTCTGGCTCCCCCATGACAGACAAAGAGCTGGTCTGAGGTCCTGAAACACTGCGTTCTGTCGACATAGGTGCGGAGAGCACGTACCGGACAGAGCAGTGCCAAGGCTGGGTCTGCCTCCTCCAGGGGCAGCGCTTGCAGGTTCACCACCAGGTCCCGGAGGGGAGTGGTAGGAACCTTGGGCATATATCCAGGCCGGGGTCTCAGGAATACGTGAGAGTAAGCCGGCCCGAACTCCAGGCACACTTCGTCAACAGAGAGTGCGTGCAGGTCCCTTACTCTCCTGATGGATACCAATGCAATCAGGAGTGCTGTCACATAGGACAGGGCAAAAACTCTACCGACTGCAAAGGCTCCAGGGGAGGCCTCTGCAGAGCACCCAGGTCTACTGAGAGGTCCCCAGAGGGCAGGAGGGGAGGGAGGCGGATTTAGCCCCCTCACTCCCCTCAGGAACCTGATGACCAGGTCATGCTTCCCATAGACTTACCTTTCACTGCATCATGAGACGCGGCAATGGCCGCGACATAAATCCAAAGGGTGGAGGGCGACAGCCTGCGCTCCAACCCCTCTTGCAGGAAGGAAGCATGACTCCGATCGAACATCTCCGGGGGTCTTCTCAGCGAGAAGAACACCAATTGACGAAGAGGTTTCACTTCAACGCATAAAGGTGTCACGTGGACGACGCTCTTGCGGAAGTGATGGTTGCCGCCACCGCAGGTGGCAGCGAACTCAAACCTGCCTCGTCCCGTCCTGGAGCCACACGTGCAGCCTCCAAGATCGGGACGAGGGTGCCACAGAGTGCCCCGTCTCTGAGAGAGTAGGTCCGGTCTCAGAGGAATAGGCCAAGGAGGTGCTGTCGCGAGGAGCAAGAGTTCGGAGAACCACGTCTTGGTGGGCCAGTAGGGGGCTACCAGCAAGACCTGCTCCTCGTCCTCCTTGATCTTGCACAACACCCGTGCAAGGAGGCTCACTGGGGAACGCACACTTGCGTGGGCCCCGTGGCCAGCTGTGCGCCAGCGCATCCGAGCCGAGAGAGCCGCGGGTCAGAGAATAAACTGGGCGCAGTGGGACGAGTCCCGAGAGGCGAACAGGTCTAACTGTGCCTCCCCGAACTGGTCCCAAATCAGCTGGACCGACTGGGGATGGAGTCGCCATTCGCCGGAGATGGGACGGGCCCGGGACAGCTCGCGGCTGCCCGGTTCCGGTCTCCAGGAATGTAACTGCACGAAGGGACCTCAGGTGCTTCTGACTCCATATCAAGAGGTGGCGGGCGAGCTGCGACAACCGGCGCGAGCGTAGACCCCCCTGGTGGTTGATGTACGCTACTGCCGTAGTGTTGTCTGAGCGGACAAGCACATGCTGGCCCTAGAGCACGCTCGGAAGCGGTGCCGGGCGAGCCGTACTGCCAACAGCTCGAGGCAATTGATGTGCATGAGGCGCTGGGCTCCTGTCCAGGAACCGGCGGCTGCATGCCCATTGCACATGGCACCCCAACCCGTGGTAGACGCATCCGTGGAGACAACGAGATGCCTGGAAACTC